AGAAATAAATTAGATAAGTGATCAGTAACTATATTAAATACCTGCAGTATGGAGGAAAAAATGTGCTTGGGGGGAATTTTTTTAAAGAGATATTGACTTTACTATGTACATATTCATTCTGTGCACAAATCTCATTCTGCTTGTCAGTTTCCGAAGCTGACTGCCTGAAAGCAAACATCTGGGTTTTATCTCAGACAGAAAAAGAGAAGAAATGGATGAAAATCAATCATTTTGCCCCTTTGAAAAAAATTAACTCTTTAGCAGGTTTCCTGACATGCATGGTAGAACTGCAGCAATGTTCAATGTAATTATTCCTTCCTAAACAAGTACTGTATATAATATCTGTCTCTGCATATGTTCCTGAAAAGGCAGTGGAGCAGAACCTGCTATAGGGATATGTGGCTGCAGATATTCAATGCTGAAAGCAGATGAAAGCTACTCTACAGAAGAATATTGTAGATGAACACTACAGCCTGATAGTGGAAGATAGGAGGGCTTGGCGTGCTCTGGTCCATGGGGTCACGAAGAGTCGGAAACGACTAAACGACTAAACAACGACGAGAGCCTGATAGTCCAATGGCACTTTTCTTTGCCAAGAGACCGATATTTCAGGGGAAAGACAAAGGGCACTTTTAAGAGTACCATGACAGAATGGAAATCATCATCATTTCACGATCAGGAGTGCTTGTCTCTTGATTCAGCAGGAGACGGGCAAATAAGATCCAAATCCTTAAATATACAAAAAGCATTTAAGCAGTAAATCAAATGAAAATATATAAACAGAAGCAATAAAATGTTTGAATGAATACATTCTCTGCAGATAATTGATGGTGCTTTATTAACTGGCAGAAATGAATGTGCAGTGCAGAATTTTTGAAAAATTCCTCTTTCCTTTGTGAAAACAAACCTTGGAATTTCCAAAAGTTGACAGGGTAGAGTTTTTAATTCCTGGGAGGGAAATTATCCCACATGATTTATTCATTACCAGATCTCATTAGTAAAGTATTTCAAGAGTTCTTGGTGTGTTGGGTGCTGCCCAAATGGTTTGCCACTTCACAATTAATTGTCATGCGTTTTTTTTTAAAAAATGCAATTGGGAAGTTAAATTTTGGTTTCGCTTTGAGAATGATCTGTGAGTTTCTTGTAGAGTTTCTTCTTGGGCAAAAATAATTACTAGTTATCCGGATGGCCTGGGAAGAACTCAGATATGTAAACTGATTTCAGTTGCCTTGACTTTATTTCAATACACTGCGATGGAAGTGAGAAAGTCTCTCTTGTTAAAAATAAAGGGCTGTGGGGAGAACAAGAGATACCTTTTGTGTGACACTGTGAGACAGTCTCCGTTCTTAGTTTGTTTTCTGCCTGTTAATTTGCAAGGTCTTCTAGTTTTTTCACTGAAAAGTTGCAAGCATTCCCCCCTCCCCTTTTCTCGATATATATCAATGGAATATTTACATTCTTGGATATGAGAGAAGATTGGATATGTGCTCTGAGTTTTATAAAATCTTTGGACCGTTCTTGTATGTATTCAAAAATGCCTCAGGGAGGGCTGTTTTTAAAATTTTTTCTTCTTTTTTCTTTCAATGTAAACACTAAATCAAATAATAAATAGCTAAAGCTACAACCAGAGACTATTGTAAGTAGTGGGTTTTTTAAATCCATATGATTTTTTTAAAAAAACATGTTTTGTCAGTATTGGATTTCAGAAACTTGTTTCACCTGAAACTTTACGGGGCTATCATACCCCTCGCTATCTTCATCTTTTTCTCTCTCAGTTGCTCGTTGAATATGAAGTAAGTACATGCCCTGTCAGGAAATATGCACAGCCAACTTGCTGGTGCTCTGCCGTTATTCATGCACAACCTTCTCTTCTCTCCCCTGTGTTCCCAGTTCCCATGTCTACCTACAGGAAACAGCAGGTAGATATTTTTTTTTCAGTCAGAGGAGATGTCCAAATGCCAGTTAAGGTAGACAGCTGTCCCCTCAAGCTGCACGGACATTGTGGGTGCCGCTGTGTCTCTGACAAATCATGACAGCTTGCTTTGCACACCACACTTTTTTGACATCTGAGGGCACCTGGACAACACAGCTGCTGCTATTTAGTACCAATGGATCGCTGTCTCTCTAGGGTTGTCGGTGGGGAAATATCAAACATAATTATTTTGGCCGGCTTTTTTTTGCTATGCATAATTCTTTAATACTTTAGCATGTTGTCCAAAGCTGAGAATGTGTTATATTCCTCCTAATGAAATGCTTGCCATGAACTTAAAAAAACAATTACACCTTTTCTAGCTTACAGTCGTAACCTGCAGTTAGGGTTCATTCTTTCCTGTCAATTCTAAGATGAGACAGTCTCTCCCTTAAGGTGCTGCTTTAACAGGGAGTTCATCCTTGGGTTCTTTCTTTGCTTTTAGAAAAAAAAAATCTACTGATAGGTGACATATCTTTTTTTAGCAACCAGGCAAGATATAAAATAATCTCCCTCAAAAATATTCCCTAATTGCCATCACTGCACACTTTAGTAGAAGAGGGTCAGTGAAAATATGTTGCCCAGGGTCCAAATGGATAGTTTTGATTATAGCAAAAGCATAATGATATAATCATTTGCAGGAGAGTAAATGAGCTATTTGAATTTATAATTTTTTTATGGCTAAGGCTGGTAGCATTCCCACCTTTTTCCACTGCAAACTTGTTTATGTCTACTGAGATGTATGGATGCTGAGCAGCATAATTAGGTTCATATTTTAACAGGGACCTGCCTAATTGGTGCTTCCTAAAACAGTACAGAAACAGAAATGACATTACTGTCGGTATTTGCAGTTCTCTGAATTGTGTGTTAAAGTTTATCTGATTAAAAAAAAAGGCACACTGAAATGCATAGACTAATGGGAAATATGCAAAAATGTTTACGTTAGAGAAAATACCTTCCATCACATCTAAAATCCCTTTTATTATGGGGAGCTACTTGCAAAATGCATAAGTTGTGCAAAATTGCACACGGAAATCAAATGTTAGGTTAGACTTTCATGAAAATACACAAGTCTTTTCATGTACACTTTTTTTTTCTTAATGGCAAACTGAGGGGGAAGAGAAACTTGGTTTCTCCTTTGCAACCCAGCCATGGAGGGGTCACATAAAAAGCAGTTAAAATGACATTGCACCAGAATAATAAAATCTTAAGAGCTTATTGAATTACTGTTTTTTTTAAAGTGGCTTAGTTTAAGTGGGCTTCCCATCTCCTTGGTTCTGAACACAGGGTGATCCTTGGCACGTTGGTGGCTAAAGGGAGAAGCATTTATTTAGAAATAAGTGGCATTTCTTCATAGACATTTTTAGAATGTCCTTCAATCATGACTCCCTTTCTGTTTTCATAAAGCAGGGGTAGGCAACTTCCCGAAGTCTGGGGGTATTACACCGGAAACCTCGCAGAGCCACGTCTGCTCCCTTGTGTCACCCTTCAAACAAAATTTTGAAAGTGAAAATCCTCCTTATACCCTCTAGTGGCGGTTTTTTTAAAAAATGTTTTTATGTGGGAAAAATCCAGGAATTGGCCCCAATTTGCAACAGTTGCTCCCGCATTACCTGATAAGATTGTTTTCTGAGTGTAAAAAACAAAAGTGAGGGTACTGGAGCTGCATTTGGGGGCCCTGAACATAAAATGAAACATAGGTTCGTCTTTAAATCATGGGAAGGTAAAAGAGAGCTTTGTCTGGCATGTGAAAGACAACAAGATAAGCACTGGATGATTCCCTTGGGGGAGTAATTCCTGTTTTGGCACCACCTCTGTAAAGGCCCTTATCTTGGGTGGGAAGGGCACCCACAATGACTCTCTGCTGAAGACCTGAGTGTACAGACAGCAGGAACACATGGAATTTATCCCAGAAACAGACCTTATATTTCTGGATACGAACTGAACTATGGACCGAAGAAATCCACGAATTGATTTCATAGTTCGGTTTGGGGATTCCGTCTTGCCAAAATGAACCAAAGTGCCAAACTTTTTTCTGCTTAGCATTTTCGTTTTTGTTTCTGCCCCCTTCCCATTGCCCCTGTTACCTCTCTACCTGGTCCTGTTGTCATTCTTCCATGCCACCATCTTTAAAGACAGCAGTCCAGCTTTCCTTCTGGGAGTCAGGCCTATTATCTCTAAAGATAACAGTGGTGGAGGATGAAGAGGAGGAGGCAGCAGGACTGTATATGGAGGCAACAGGGCAGTGGGAAGGGGGATAGCAGGTGGCAGAGGGGGTGGACGTTCCCCTCAGGGCACGAACTGGGAAAAGAAAAGAGACACGATCTGATGGTTGTTGTGGGTTTTTAGGGCTCTTTGGCCATGTTCTGAAGGTTGTTCTTCCTGACGTTTTGCCAGTCTCTATGGCCGGCATCTTCAGAGGATTGGAGTAGGAACTCTGTCCATGCTCTGTTGCTGTTTGTTGGAGAGTTGAGTATTTATAGCTGTGGGAAATACTCAGATACTCAACTGTCCAACAAACAGCTACAGAGCATGGACAGAGTCCTCTGAAGATGCCAGCCACAGAGACTGGTGAAACGTCAGGAAGAACAACCTGCAGAACACGGCCAAAGAGCCTGAAAAACCCACACCATCAGATCCCGGCCATTAAAGCCTTCGAGAAAACACAATCTAGTTTGTTGTTCTGGTGCTCATGGGTGGTTTGTGGTTAGCCATGAAGCACCCTGATTTGTCTTTTTTTTTTTTCTGGTTCATGCCCATCTTTATTTCTGACTCTTTTTTTGTAGAAGGGCTTTTTGACCTTTCTGATCTTCAAGGGTCTATTGTTCTATTGAATGAAAAACAAGTCCTTTGTTTCCCTCAAGCTTGTGATTTAAGATTGGCAGCTGCATGCTTGTGGGGTATTGATTATGCTAAGGGTTTGGCCCTGCAGCTCCCATTCTTATTCTGAGGAAATCCTGTTCTCCTTTCAGGGAACATGTGCCATTGACCCTGCATTATGTCCTGATGAATCTCATGTCTTTTTTCACAGTCCCCATGCCATCCCAGAACGCCTACGGATCAGAGTGAACCGAATTAGTTTACAAGATTATGAGGGACTGCATTACGACAAAGAAAAACTCCGGGAAGCTTGTAAGTCTTTGCTTTGGGGATTTTTTGAGGGATTGGCTAACACTGTGATTTTGCTCAGTATGCATTTTTTTTCTTGTCTGTATAAGTTACTCTTGAATGTGAGTCTACAAGCTTTGGTGAGGCTTATTAGCTAACCATTTGTGTCTAATTGCTTCTGTGGCCTGAGTTTCTTGACATGTATTGCACCCACCCCTGGAGAGATCTGATCTAGCCATGGTGACAGATGCCTTAGTTACATCCTAACTGGATGTGACAAAATGGAGTTTGTGCAACCTCACATCGGTGCTTCTGGAATGGAAACAACTGATAGGTAGTGTCATTGCCCAGGGGATAACCGAACACATTCACATTCTTCAGGAGGTGCCTTCCTTGTCCTTCCAAACACATGGAGGAAAGTGGATCAACAAAGACCTTGATGAGTGTGGAGAAGAGCGAACCTCACACCTATGTCAGTGTATCAATGCCCCTCAACATGTGCTAAGGAGGACTTGATATTAGCTGCTCCAAATGCTCTTAATGGTGCCAAGATTGGACAAAAATTATCAGATAAACCTATTGATTGTACCATGGTGCTTCTGACACAAACAATCAAGCAAGGGCATATCAAAATATGTAAACTCAGGTGAGGTCATAGGAATTTAGAAATATTTGTTCTGTTATTTTTATTTATTTATTTATTTATTTATTTATTTATTTATTTATTTATTTATTTCTTTCTTTCTTTCTTTCTTTCTTTCTTTCTTTCTTTCCCACCCATCTGGTCTGGTCGACCACTCTTGGGCGGCTTCCAATAAAGTGTATACGATAAAACATAAGGATTTTAAAAACAGTCCATAACACATACAATAATAAAACAAATAATAAATGAAAGAAAAAAGAAAGAAAGAAAGAATTAAATATTGACAGGAGGGAAGGCCTGAACATACAACCATGTTTTTAGTTGACTCTTAA